GAAAAATAAGACTTTATTTACCAGAACCTGTTGGATGAATTCTACCACACGCTGCTCCAACCTTTTTGTTTTTCTTGAGTCTATCGACCAATAACCTGACTGCATCAGGTTGGAAATCAACATCTCCATCCAAAGTCAGAAGAAAGGTGTTCTCGGCCTGTCAAAGAGAAGTTTAGCAGCAATGAAAATTATCTTAAAAGTAAAACAAAAAGAATTTAGATTATTTTATCTCGTTCAACCAAATTCCACATATTACGCACGCGCAAAGAATCTCGTTATATACTATTAACATTCTTGGTGTTAGGTAGCATGAAGCTAACTGGTGATTGGACAGAACACAAAAAATTTTCTCAAAAATAAATAAAAAATAAATAAATAAATCAAAATGAAACCTTGACTGTTTGCAATGAGTGTCAGAGATTCTTTTGCGAAGAATAAAGGCCACAGATTCACCACGCTATGGTCACAGATGCTACACCAGCTGTTCTTGCTGTGGTGATTGTATCAAGTCGGTTTTACGTGATGGGGGTTTCAAATTAAGAGCTGTTGTTCTCCTAGACTGGTTGCCAACCAAGGCTAGAGAGTCCACTCTACACTGTTCAATCTATAGTTAGGTGTTGAGAAAAGATGGATTCATACTTTTCCAAGGGAATTCGCCTGAAAATGAACACAACAAACTTGACCGGAATTTGAACGTGGTTAGCCTATTCCACTTTCCGCAGCACTAACCACAATATTACACAAACATCCTTCAGCTTTGATATAGAGCCAACCTGCTACATGAAAAGATTTTAACAAGCCTTGTTCCATTGGACGTACTGGAAAGATACAGCCTGAAGGAATTGATTACAACTTGGGACATTCTAAGAGTGCAGGCTGTCAATTCCCACATCTGACATAGGATTGATTTATTGATATTTTTTTCACGTTTTATCAACCCTTTACGGGTTATTTAAAGCTGAAACATTTGGGATTGTAATTTATAAAATAAAGTGTCGTGATATTTGAAAAGGTTAGATTCTTTTTCTTTCTTCAGTGTTTTGTTCATGTGTGTGTATTCAGAATCTATTGAAAATATTTTCCTGATAATCGATAAATTATTTATTTCTTCACTAATAAAAATCGATTTAAAAAATGCAAGAAAATATTTCAATAGAAAGTCCATTAACAAATCGCCATAATCTTAAAGTAATGATATCTTCAGTTTCTTTTTCTATGTAGCGTATTCCATCAGGATATGGCTCTCCATAATTTCCTATTGTTCTAATTAACTTTTGACATTTTATCATTCCTCTCTCTCTCATATATATATATATATATATATATATATATATATATATATATATATATATATATATAGCGAATATTGCAATAACAATATTTTGGGGAGATAATTATTTTTCCAAATACGTCCTAATATTTAACCCGTATCTGGGGGGGTGGAGAAGAGACGGATTCACTTTTCCCAACGGTATTCGCGTGCAAGTGAATATAACGCATTAGAACACGGATCGCTGATTTCTCATTCTGAGCTCCGTTGCATCAACCACACATCCACCTATGACACACGGGATTTGGGTTACTCTAAGATTCTCCTTAATCTTAAACAAAATATTCTTATGACACGCAAGTAATTACTGCAACCATGAAAGAATATCTTACCTTCGTCTTGCAGTTGTTTCAAGATTATCATAATTAATAAGACAGAAAGCAAAGGGTGGCCTCATTATGTAAAATTGGTGACAAAACACAATTTAGTATAATGAAAAGATGTGCTTACAAAAAGAAAAAAAACAATTCAAATGCTAACAGAGTCTGTTATGTTAAGTTTTGCACTAAAGCCATTAAAAAATGCATAAATCCATCTTTTCTTTCCCTCTATCTAAGGGTTAAATAGCAGGATAAACTTATTTTGCCTTGGATGAACAACTGAATTCGGAACTGTGGAGGAGGGAACGAGAAACCACTCCACTATAATTCCCAAAATGTCATTTAAATTCACAAATATTAAAGAGATAGAAGCTAAGGAGAGCCGTGGCTGCCTGCGCCCGAGAGGGTTAAAGTTGTTAAATAATAATCATAATAAAACAAGCAATAAAAACATTGAATGAAAATGACTTACTTCAGTGTGAACTTCTTCATCGATGTAATTAAAAATAACACTTCTGCTGAAATGGGCCGCTTTTCTCCGATGACGTAATTGAGAGCGAGTCAGTCTAACTATTCCGTCAATCTTTTCCTGGGAGCAACTGCTGATAGACACCGGTCTCTTTTGTGCCATGATTTTATAGCCCAGAAGGTAGTACATATACATTACCTGAAAATAGCATCACAACAGTAGGTATTTACACGATTTACATGCGGACTATTGTCCTAATTTTTGTTTTTCTTATCACGACGTTTCGACCGTTGTGCACTCCGGCCTTCATCAGGTATACATTGATCCGGGTAACCTACGTGAACTGAACCCTTTGTTTAATCTGCGCGGGTAGACTGTTCTCGTTCCACCGCCCATGTCTAGTTCTTATTTTTAGTACTGCTCAGTTATTGTTCGCCTCTGTTTCCACGGAGTCAAAGTATACACTGCCCAGCCCAAGGATTGAACTAACAATTACTATGTCACGAACTTCATGAACCAACAGTTTAATCCAGTATGAATGCGATGAACAGGGAAAATATAACTTCTTTTTCCATTTTGTTTCCTTTTATAGAGACTAAGAGGAGAGTAGAAACTGCCCGTTGTGTCCCGAGAGCACTTCGGACAATAATCATTACGAACAGTTTCTACACGGTCTTAGTCCCCATAAAAGGAAAACAGTAAGACACTGGAGGAAAAAAAATTCCTTGCCCGTCACATTCAATAAAATTATATATATATATATATATATATATGCACGCGCACACTAGCTGAATTATCCGCGCCTTGATCCGTGTCACACATTTTTTAAAATAAAATGATAATTGATTTTTAAATCATTGTTATAATTTGTGAAGAAAAATGATGTTTTTCAGTTATAGGCAATGATCTTGCCCATGTGACCTCCATCTTCTGACTTTTGGATAGGAGTCATTCTCTTGTTTAAATTTAAATTAAATCAAAGGGAAAAAAAAACACATACCGGAGAAGCCCTTTTGATCAAAATGCCATATACTGATCGAAAGAACCCTGGGTAATGCAGTTTTAGAAATTATATATATATATATATATATATATATATATATATATATATATATATATATATATATATATTATAGTTATGGGGGTCGATCTCAAGAACCCTACGAGTAGTTCGATAACAGACAGAGGCTACAAATCTGTGTGTGTGATTATATATATATATATATATATATATATATATACATACATACACACACACGGGAGATAGGAAATCAGTAGAAACAAGAATCGACACTGCATGATGACAGCTTTATGCTTCAATGTGATCTTGCTCTGAACATAGCATTGATGATGAAACCAATGCAATGTTGATTCCTATGTCCATGCTGTCTATATTTATAAACTCTCCACAATGTCATTTATGACAAGCTGTCTTAGGATTACTTGAACTTTTTCTTAGTTACAGGTTTCCCCTCCTAATGCCTATGATAGAGGTTCAAACACAGGTAAAGGCCAGAATTTATATATTTTTAACTAGAGTTCATTTAATACAAGGCGCATGAGAGGATTACTCAATGTCCAGGTTGTCCAGTACAAAAACGATAAATTCAGAAAGACGTGAGAAAACTGATGATGACTGAATAATTCTGGAAGAATTTCTGCACATTTTGTCAATCCCTATGTCAAATATTATTTGAAATATACGATAACTTGAGGCTTCATACAAGAAGGGCAGAACGAAAGACGAAAGTTGTTTGCAAATAATGAATCACAAGATCGAACAGAAATTAATCAATCATAAAAGAACCAATCAGAGTTAAATAATTACGCCAGAGTTGAATGATTATTCAAGGTCATGAATATTCAAGAAATTTCTTCATGGTCAATTATTCCTGAAAGATAAAATAGTGATAATAAATTTTCTGCTTTTTTAGTTGTCGTAAGGGTGTACAATGAGAAATCAAGAGGTAAATTTTATGAGGATGTGTAGGATAAATAACGGTTGACCCTGGACCTGTAGTGACGGGGAGTTCGTTTCACAATGCAACAGTTCTGGGGGAAATGCTCTCTGGGGGAAAATTGGTTATAGGTTAGAAAGTGGTTCGTCACCCATAAAACCGCACAAGCTTTTTTGAACAGCGGTTTTCTAGATAAAGCTTAACAGATTGGCACAATATAATCTTTTTACTTAAACTAAACTTAGCAAATATCTAAGTTACAAATTAATAATGTAATAAGTTTCAAAACATTCTTTTTCCTTATGTTACAATTCGCATCTAATGTTGAGAAAGGTGAATCCTACCTGTGACCATCTTTTTTTGTGTCGTATTTTGCAATTGTCTTTCATATGAAGAATCAGTCTGGTACCTCCCGGGAGTTTCCATACCAATTTCCCTCCATAGGGTGTCGGACATTTAGACGGTGGTCCTAACATCATTTTTCTTTCGTGGATACAACTAGAAAGACAAATTATCAGATTCATCAAAGTAAATCCCTAATACGGCTGGATTATCCTGATAACTGTACATATTATCTGGTTATATCTTCTGCATAAATAATGTAAGATTTTTTTTATCTGTACGATTATATCGAGTTCCGTGTAACAAGGGGTTCGACTATTTAAATCATTAAAGTAAAAATATTGAAAGAAAGCTAATAGGAGGTTTTGTAGTTTATTCTGCATTTCATTAGAACAGTGGATTAATATCCGCGGCCTGTCACGCAGTTAATATCCGACTTTTGATCTTAAAAGTTCAATGTATGTTTGGTCTTTGTGATTAATTAATATTTACTAAATTAAGTGCACCAACAGGGAAGACATTAAATTGAAGAAATTATTTTTCTCTTGTTATAGCTTATTAAAGTACCTACGTATCTTAATTTAATAGATAGATAGATAGATACCCAAGAACAGAACAATCAGATCAGAGAGGACATGATTTGCCACGGTATCAGCAAACAGTCCTATGATTTTGAATTCTAGGCTGGTTGCCAAACAAGGCTAAAGAGCCCAGTATGCATTAAGAAGAGATGGATTCATACCTTTGCTATTTGGGCATATTTGGGAAGTGTTTCGGAGTTGTCTGGAATTCGAATGTGGATATGCTGATGGTTTAATGGTTAGCAGTTCAGTACAAGAGATCGGCGCTATATATAAGGATTCTGCCTTAATTTTTTAGATGAGACATTATTATTTATGTTCGGACTAATGTTCTCATTTTCGTTTTTATTAACCAATTGGCCAAAACGCTGTGACAACGACAACAACAACGACGAATGAGACATCAGCGTCGTAACGACGAATGAGACATCAGCGTCGTATCGACGAAAACGACCATGGAGACAGTTTCAGAACAACAACAACGACGATAGAGACATTAGTCAGAATGTAAATAATGTAAATTTTAGACTGATCGGGAAGTAATTACGTATTTCACCATTATGAATAATGATTTAAAAGGCAGAACCAAGGTTAAATATTAGGAAACTGTGCCTAGTATTAGTTTATCATCGCTTTTATCTAGGTACCGCCACGAGATCGCTTTAAAAAAAAAAAAAAAAAAAAAGAGCATAACATGAAGATAAAGACGCCAAACTTGTTGAAAACAAAATTTTATCGTCTAAATGTTTATGTTATTATTAAGAGGAAAGATCAAAGTATTTTGGGGGTATTTTTTTTTTTTTTACATTTTTTAATCGTTCCAAGCACGTCCGAAATTTTCGTTAAAAATCTTGTTTTATTTTGAGTCCGCAAAATTGACCATTTTTTTTTCCATTTTATAAAAAAACTGAAAATCTCCCTTTGAAATTCTTTTAAATATCAATTATCATTTTTTCAAAACTTATTTTAAGAAAATCAGAAATTATAATGTTTATTTAAAATATTTTGAACCAAGCTTAACTTAGATTCTGCGCCGAAAAGATGTAATTTGAAAATAAAACAAAGCAGGTCATAAATTTTCGCGTCACTTGACAGGTGATGAATGACATATTGACGGATTCCGTGAGGATAATTTGTTCTACGGAAGGAGAGAAGTGAAATAATTTACATTTAAGTGAACAAATTATTTACCTCGTTGTTTTTATGGAAAACTTTCAGCGTTCTAATTTTTTTTTGTACTTAGCTTTCACCTTTACGTTTACGACGCTTTAAGGAAAATATATTATAAAGAAATTAAAATAAAACTGTTAAGAGTGAGATTAAATTTCATATTTCATAAGAAAGGTATCTAATTAATTTATAGGTACTTTTCTTATGAAATTTTATCAGAAGTGTACATAAAATACTATAATTTTGTGTACATTTATTACATTTTACTGTGTTATTTGTATTTCCATTCATTTTATTATTAATTTTGATATTTCATTTAAAGAAAAATGTCATAATTGAGATTAATATAAAAATAAGATCATATAAATTTCATAAGATGATACTGATACTTGTAGGTACCCTTCTCAGTTGAAATTGAAAAATCAAATTAACTTCTCCACACGTGTTTCGCTAAAGTAAAGGCCTTAACAGCGGAGAACAATGCTTAACTCAAATAACGCAACTTAATTGTATTCTGGTTGGTCTTCCGTACTTTATAATTACAGCCCGATTATCAACACAAAATTACATTTCTTAATTACTACGAATCTTCTGATTAGTCAGAACGTTCCTCGCTTGAGACCGAACACAGCTTTACCATCTACAACCGGCTTTCATTTTTGCATGGTACAACTGATGATAAATGGATTTTGCATGTCAACAGAAAGTGAAAATACAGGATGCAGCGGAAATATCTCCCACATAAGACGTTAGTGGCAATGGTGTCTTCATCTAGCTAATGTCTTATCATCATTTGGGCATGTGGGAGTTATTTCTGCCGCATCTTTTTCTAATGGTTATCATAAAATGAGAAACTTGTGTCAACTCCAAGGAAAAAAACTATCCACAGAAACCCCCTTTGTTGTTTGTTTGGTTGATTTCGTTTAGCGGCATGTCAACACCTCTATGGGTTATTTAATGCCGAAATCTAAATATTATTAACCCAATTGCATGCCTTCAATTATAGATAAAATGTAATCGTGGTCAATTTTTTTTAATATAAAAATTTATTGATGTTATTTTACTATAAAATGTATTTTTATATTTTCAATGTGTTTTTCCCTATTAACTCATAGCTGGGACCCTAACAGGTGCTACCACCCGGGTCAGCAATTAAGGGGTGGCTCCACGCTCCTCAAAACCTCCAATCCCCCTATTAGAGGCATTGCTGCCGGATGTAGTTTATCATCATACCCAGACCACCCTTTTTTTGCATTTAGTGTAATAGGAAAGGCGGCACATATTACGAGCTAATGGAAGGGTTATTACTGCAGATGTCTACTGTCAGCATCTTGCTCAGTTAAACGACGCATTGCATCGATCGTGTGAGGTTAAAAAAAATAAAAAAGGTGTTATTCTCCAACATGACACGTCAAGGACATAGTAAGAGAAAAAATAGAGCGCTAGGTTGGGAGGTTCTTCCACATCCTCCATAATCACCTACAGATTTTATCTTGTTTTGGAACACTATAACATTTCATAAGTGGCAGAACACTCAGAATGAAAAATGTTTACAGACTTTCAAACTGTTCCGGAAAAAAAACGTAGACTCGAAAGTTTGTTTTCCTACTGTGTTGCAATCACGGAAAATGAAGGCGATAACATTTTTGGCAAATAATATTTAAATAAATTTAACATATTTGTTTTAATATCATTTCTGGTAAGACGTTATAACTTAATTCCTTAATATAACTTTTATTCTATTCTGTGTATTATTCTTTATGTGCAGTGTTCCCTCTGAACGTAGGCGATCATAGCTCTCCATAACTTCCTGTTCTTTGTAGCTGTTAATAAATTGGCTTTTCGTTATTTCTCCTTAAACCTGTTCCCACATCCATTTCCTCAAGCTCATCAAGTATGTTGTTCGTTGTTTTCCTCTATCCTGTGAGTATCAGATTTTCCAAGCCTTCCTTTCTGTACCCCAGAAATTTCAGTCGCTTCTAGATGTTAAGTTTGTATTTATTCTCATTATTCTAATAATAATCTGTCTAGACTTTCGATTTTTTTCTAAGAGAAAAATCACCTGTTAATGTCTCATCTATGGGCAAATAGTGAACCACAAACAAAAGTAAAAAATACTATGAAAGTATAAAAATACAAACAATACATTCTTCTAAAAAAAAAAAAAAATAGCAACAATAACTATTTATAGTAAAATGACAATACATTTTATCTGTAGTTGAAGGCATACTATTGCATTCAAAATATTTAGATTTTAGCATTAAATAACTGCAGCGAGAGACAAGAAATTGTCTTTTTGACCAAACAAAAATAAGAAAAATTAATTATAAATATTCACGAGAATAGAAAACAGTCACGTGACCTGACGAGACATCATTAGATGGGAAAGTCAATTCTTCTTTTGCTCCTGGAAGTTAAGGTATCATGACGCATGCATTTCAGGCGTGTGACAAACCAAACACGAGTACAAAATTCATATTGTTTTTGGTACATACATGCTAACTTTGTATTAAGAATTTTAAGTTTATATATATATATATATATATATATATATATATATGCAAGTGTTTTATATGAAAACTTATTTTATTTGAACTTTTCATATATTTATGATGTCCTAGGTTTCATATCCTGCACACTATAACCCATAGAGGTGTTGATATGCTGCTAAATAAAACCAACCATCCAAGATGATTAATAATAGTGGTTTCGTATTTTGAACCTCACTCAATGAGGATTGGATTTTCAGAGTTGGACGCAATGCATTCTTCAATGTCCCTGTTCCCATTTATGTTGTGCTGTAAGCTAAATATCTCTACTACTAAGATGAGAGATCTAAGAGTATTCATCTTGAAAAGTCAGGCCTGCCTTCGACATCAAATAATTAGTCACGTGACTTCGGGTCGATGGACACACGAAAAAGGGGAAATATGCAAATACCTGAGTGCTTCATCGATACATTCCACAAAATCAATCACAAATGAATTTGGTTCCACTTCATTATCGTCATTAATAGTGAAAGCGTCGTCGAAAAATAAATGAGCTGAAACAGAAAAATAAAAAAAAAATTAGATCTGGCCATTGTGAGGATCGAACTACACAAGCACGAAGGATCGAGAGCAGTGGATCACGAAGGATCGAACGCAGTGGATCTCAAAGTCTCAGCTCACATTCTTGAGAGTGGAGGATTTTTTTTTTCAATTACTCCAACCATTTTGTATTGGGATTGATTTTTTCCTCACTATTATACGAGTAGGTGCTGAAAGATTCTAGGCTCGACCAAGACGTTATTAATGTAGTTACAAAACCGTGTACTTCGGTCCCTGAGAAGGACCGGATATCATGCAAAAAAAACAAAAAAAACAAAGTGAATTCCTCTTCTGTCCGTTATACTTTCAGTAGACAAAATATTGGGATTTTACTGATAGAATTAATATTTAACGAAAATAAGTACAGATTTTCGTTAGGAAGAAAAGAAAAAGGATAAAAAAAAGAAAAAAAAGCACAAAACAAAGGATAAAAAAAAGAAAAAAAAACACAAAACAAAGGATAAAAAAAAAGGATAAAAAAAAAAACACAAAACAAAGGATAAATAAATCACAGGATAAAAAACAATAAAGGATAAAAGGGGCTAAAAAACAAGGATAAAAAGGAAAAATAAAAAAAAGGAGAAAAAGGGGAGAAAAGGATAAGAAAACAAAAGGATAAAAAGAAGGCAAAAAAAAAAAAAAAAAAACCAAAGAAAAAACGAAATAAAAAGCCATTTCCAACTAATGAGGTGATTATATGAAATTTTTGATAAGCTTTTTTCTGTGTTTGATTATGGTAACACTGTATATGGTTTTCGTGTTTAAAAAAAAAAAAAAAAAAAAAAAAAAAAAAAAAAAAAAAAGGACTGTTCTGTAGAAATAATAATAAAAAGATTAAGAAGGTGTGAGCTCCTCCTCGGGATTATTTTCAACCAAACAGAGGAACGGAATTTGAAACCTGCGATAATTTAGAAAGATGGCTAAGGAGCCTACCGATCGAAATATAAGGGAAGTGTTCATCTGGTTTAATTATTATCCATACACAAGACTTACATTACTTACCTGTCACATGTCAGAGGGTATCCCCCAGACGAGGCTATGACTGAAGGGCAGAGTCTCGTCTCGGGAAACTGATTCTGTTTTTACGTGGTCTATAGGGAATTTTTGCCCGAGCCTACGGGCTCGGATACCCCCACTTTAAAACTCGGCCTTGTGCCACATCTTGCTGCGTAAATAAGTATTCATACAAAACACGACTGAGAGGATAGTCAAGATAAATCGTGTTCAACTGATCAATTAACATTAACAGTGAGGACTTCAGTAACTAGACTCCTAGAAATCACATGACCAATAAAGAATCCTGGATAAACTTAATAAAAAATTTTGAAGAAAAAAAAAAAAAAAGAAACAAACAAAAACGAAAAAAAAAAAAAAAAAAAAAAAAAAAAAAAAAAAAAAAACAAACAAAAACGAAAAAAAAAAAGAAACAAACAAAAAATGAAAAAAAAAAGAAACAAACAAAAAACGAAAAAAAAAAGAAACAAACAAAAACGAAAAAAAAAAAAAAAAAACAAAAACGAAAAAAAAAAAAAAAACAAAAAAAACGAAAAAAAAAAAACAAACAAAAACGAAAAAAAAAAGAAACAAACAAAAACGAAAAAAAAAAGAAACAAACAAAAACGAAAAAAAAAAACAAACAAAAAAAAAAAAAAAAAAAAAACAAACAAAAAAAAAAAAAAAAAAACAAACAAAAACGAAAAAAAAAAAAAAAAAAACAAAAAAAAAAAAAAAAACAAACAAAAACGAAAAAAAAAAACAAACAAAACGAAAAAAAAAAAACAAACAAAAACGAAAAAAAAAAAACAAACAAAAAACGAAAAAAAAAACAAACAAAAACGAAAAAAAAAAGAAACAAACAAAAACGAAAAAAAAAGAAACAAACAAAAACGAAAAAAAAAAAAATCTAAACAAAGATTTCCTAGATGATACAAGGGAACTCGACTCCTGTAGCTATAATTCTCTTTGGTTGTACAAACTTTTACAAGTTTACCACTACATTGTCTCGGCAACAGAAACTTTTGCTACTCGATTGTCCTCTCAACCACGAAAGTTAAAAAAAAAAAAAAAATATTCTGCCACTCTCTGTAATCGGGGACTTTTTTTTTTTTTTAGCTTAACAATTAATGTAGCAACCATTGTAAGTCCCCAATTTGTTGCGAACATATTTTCAGGACTTAGCTTAAATATTTTAGGCACTCAAAAGAATATTTTGCGCAAGCCTTTATCCGTTTCGCATAAATAATTGTAATTAACATTTAAAAGGAAACTTACCGAATGGAATTGAAACAGAAAATGACTGTTCCACTCGGTAAGATTCTTTTTTTCATTGCCCCCCCCACACACACACACGCATAAGCGAAAATCCCCATAAGAACACTGAATCCCTCGTCAAAGTAGCTATTATTAATTATTATTAATAGTTACGATAGTCAACCAACCATTTTTATAGTTATAGAGGCCAAAGAATAGATATTTTTTTCCAACGTCTTCGTTTTAGGAGAAAGACAGTAATTGCTATTCATGAGTAATCGTAATGATCACTGAAAAAGAATCCCACCCCATAATGAAAAATCGGAGCAAATTATTTATATAGATAGCAAATTTTTTTTTTTTTTCACATTTTATTTTTCATTGAAGATCTGGCTTTTATTCAAAAGAAAAGTAAACTGATAGTAATTCCGGAATCAAAGACAATTGCTTACCTTCGAATTCGTAATAATCCGGATCCTTGATTTTGTAAAATTTTTGCGCCAAGTACCTGGCGCTGTGGTCGATGTCAAGCCTAAAATAAAAACGAAAGTAAAATGGAGAGAAAATTAAGTTTATCCTAAAGTCTGTCTTTAATTCATATCCTTTTGACGTCAGATTAAAATCGACGTCTTCTTCCCCCACCTCCAATATTTTGACAATGTGCCATACGTGATACACGCGTAGGTGATCATGTATCTTTCGAGGCAGTTTTTTTTCCCTCGCAGTAGGTTGCCATTTCTTTCTGCGGTACACCAGTTGCCATCCAAGGCTATAGAACCAAGTCTACCCTACTGTTTACCCATAGCTGGGCGGAGAAGAGGATTCATACCTTTTCCAAGGTTATTAGCACGTAAATGAATGTAATGGATTTGACTGGAATTCGAACTCGGCTCTTCGATTCCTCAATCCGAGCCTCTATCCATTACTCCACCGTACCCCATTTTGCTTAATGCTCGTATATTTTTGACTACAGATAAAAACTTAGATATGTTCCAATATATTCAGGTGAAATTTATAGCTTGCTATAAACTATTTCTATACTCAGTCAGTCAGTTATGTGCCATACGTGATACACGCTTAGGCGATCTTGTATCTTTCGATACACAACTGATGAGGCAGTTTTTTCCTGCAGTAGGTTGCCATTTCTTTTTTCGGTAGACCAGTGGCCATCCAATGCTATAGACCCCAGTCTGTCCTATTTATCCATAGTTGGCGGGAGAAGAAAATGGTTCATAACCTTTCCCAGGGATATTAGCACCTAATTCGAACTGCTCTCCGATTTCTCAATCCGAGCCGCTATCCATTACTCCACAGTGCCTTATTTTGCTTAATGCTCATATTTTCTTGATTACAGATACATTTAGGTGAAATTTATAATTTGTCAGGTCAGCGGGTTGCATTTAACCCGCAGGACTGAGGTGAGGGTTCAAAGTAGTCAATTTTTGTGCTCATCAGAATAAATTTGGCGACTGATCATCAATATTTCACCGTTTTTGTATTTAATTAATCCTAGATTTTCTCGCCTCTCCACAGCCGTTTCACTCATGGCCAATAATCTAGCCTAAAAAAAATTTACTCTTGCGGCAAATTTTCTGCAATTAATGTGGCCCTTCATATTTTTTTTTATGGCGTCAGTTTAAACCGGTGCAGGAAGGTGGGGAGGATATTGTTTAAAGAGATGTCAAATTGAATAAATACACAACATCACATTTCTGTAAGTAAATATTTTCATAATAACATTGATATTAACTAACCGATGTTAGTAAAATGCATGTGATATAGGCTATATTCATATGACTAATATACTATGAGTGTTTGACCCTATAATATTGATCCTTATTTTTAAAAATAAATATTCGTAATTGTTCTGTGGGTGTCATTTTATTATTCAAACGAAGTGTAACAATTTTTGGGAGAGTAGATAGGTTCCCCTATCGCCCGGTTCAAACTCCTTCCCGTCTATTGAACAGGAGTAGAGGTTTATCCCTTTTTTCTTGTTTATGATTGCTTTTCCGGTTCCTTCAAAAATCATCTCATTCTCTTTCAATCCCAGTAACCATTTGTATCTTAGTGACATTATCGCCTTGCTTGCGATTAAAAAAAAAATATCTAAACGAGGCTATAAAATCATTTGATTACCACAATATTCCATATACCTGAATAAATTATTATTTTACATACAAACATGGACACCTTGACATTTCTTAACCTTCAAATTGAATACTGCTGCCATACATGGGCAGGATTTACCCAGTCTTCACTTTCAAGTCTCGATAGAATCCTTGTGGGGGATGGAATATTTTCCACCCTACAACTCCTTTCTCGCAGGCGAAACGTTGCATGCCTCTCGGTACTATATCGCTATTTCCATGGAAACTGTTCAGACGAATTAGATTACTTACGTAACCTAACTTGAGCGTGAATTGGGACTTAAATTCAACCCAGGGCTTAAATGGAACTCCTACATACGATCGATCGCTAAAGATACTAGAAAAATTGATCGACTTATTAAGTACCTAACCTCTCCTACCATCCTTTACAAGAGTCAGATCAAACCGAAAATGGAGTTCTGCCCAGGAGCTAACCAGTCTTTAATTTCCAGTCTTCATAACTGAAAAGCGTGTCCGTCCTTGTGGGTGATAAGTTATTTTTCATTCTACAACCCTTTTCCAACAGACTAAACGTCACAAGTCTCCTGATGATCTATCGGGTTATGGAGAGTTTTCACGCAAACTACATTTAGTTTTACTAGAATCTAATCTTCACTGTTAAAACCTTGGCGCCCATATTGTAGCGAGCCACATTCATTCTCTTCATATTCCATTGGTGAGGTGTAAGTTCCACTCGAGCAGCTTCTTCCTACGAGGCTTACGGACACATCTCATTGGAACACCGTTTCTCGTACAATCACCGAAGTTAAGCAACATCGAGCCTGGTCACTATCTATATGAGTGACCGCTTCAGAATATCAGGTGTTCAAACAATCTAGATTCCTTAGTTCCACCTGTTCTAACCTTCACACTGTAGCGAGCCACATTCATTCTCTTCATATTCCATTGTTGAGATGTAAGGTCCACTTGAGCAACCCCCCCAAGAACCGCTGCTTTCCCAAGAGGATGCTTCCTCAATTACTACATCCTAACCTGTTCAAGAAGAAGGCTAACCATTATCTTCCTCACATATTCCAATAAACTCTGCCTCTACCTTTGTAACCCTCTACCTTGAGTGGCTCCTGGGTTTTGTACAAAAATTTTTTATTAACTCGAAAGAGTTAAAATAATTTTTTGTACAGAGTACTTTTATTACTTCTCAGATATTTTCTTTGCTGGATATTTTCTAGTACATGTGTTTAATGATGAACACGTTTTTGTATTGGATTAATATCCGGTGAGGCTGGGAGCAATTCTATTAATCTGGTGTCTGTGAGACCTATAGGACTCCATAGCTATGTATGTAGCCAGTGCAATGATGACGGGTATTGCTAGACAGGAGTGGGGGTGGGTCCGATTCCCGATGGAATCAATCACGGCTACATGCCAGTGACCAAGGCGAACATCGGATCTCTTTTGACATGGCTAGGGATGGACCCCAACAAGTCTACTTGCCAAAGTCACGCTACGCATAACTGAATACCTCTCCGGCTTTCGACCCAGATGTATAAAAGTAACTGATCAGATGAGAAGCGACCATACAACCACACTCGATGAAGGGACTAAGGATGATGAAAATGACAGACCTTTTTTTGATAAAGTATGATAAAAAGACAAAGTTTACTAAGCGCTACAAAGGATAGGAAGTTGTGAAGAGGCATGATCACCCATGTCCTTAAGCGACACGGCACATAGAAGGCCATAGACAGTTTCATAGAATGCTAATGAGCATTGTCGTACTTGAATATACTTAAAGTAGGCACCTCAAAAAAAAAAAAAAAAAAAAAATAAAATAAAAATAAAAGGAAAAAGTTAAAAATCAATACAGTGGAACCTCAATTTAACGTACTAATAGGGAGGGCTCGTTCATTAAGAAGCACTGACCTAAAAACACCCATTACAATACAAAATTATTGTAAATAAATGTAAATATAGTTTATATGTATGTGTATTTTATTTTTTAGTTACTATATAACTTTATTTAAAGTTATAAAGTTAAATCCGGAGTCCGTTGTTACTGGGACCATTAATTCGAGGTTATACTGTATAGCTACCTCGAAAGAAAAGTGATACCTAAGGCCTAAAATAAAATTTTTAAAATGAAAAATCTTGAAGCTTTTATTTTAGTTTTAATTCCGAGCGAATAGATCAAATTTAGTATTTCCAATAAGCAAAATACTTTGCTGTATTTCAAACCGTATTTAAATTGATTGGAATTTTTTTTTTTTAATCTCTAAAATCGGTCATAATAATAACAAAGATTTTGATTAAAACTTATTAAGATTCGAGAATTTTTTCAACATGTATGCTCATTTTTTTAGCGTATCTTTGGGAGGTACCTACTTAAGGTTTCTTGTTTGTGATGTGTGCCAGTAAAAAGAGTATTCATGAATCGAAACTCACAACCCCCTTTTTCTTTGGGGGCGGGGGTCAAATATATTTCTGTTATTTCATCCACTTTGTTTGTTTATAGCCCCCTTTTAATTTTTTTTAATCAAATGTATATTTATATCATTTTTACGATCACGAAATAAAAGGCTTCATGTTGTCAATGTTTTATTTTGTTTTTTACTGTTCAGCGATTCTTGGTCAACCTTTTCGTAATTTCCAGTGTTGTGTCCCCATCAATCATTATCTTGTTACGCTTTTGAGTTTATATCTTTCATATGACAAATGGCTATCTTTATAGAGCTGAAATTAAATATATAATTTTCAATATGGTGAACAGCGCTTGACCCACATCACTTTAGAGACAGCACCTACAGACTCAATATTCATGAAGCACCATTAAAAGTAACAATTACTGAACTAAATTATTTTATACATCAAAAGTCAAGATATTTCGGATGTCATTAAGAATTGATACTGTTGAACAGTAACGGCCCTAGAGTTGCTGGCAAGCTGAACTTCAGCGCCTTTACAAGTATAATTTTTAAAATTTTTACAAGGATAAAAACTGAAAATATAAAATAACTAGCTTATTACAATCTACAACTTAATACAAGCTAAAGAAAACATTCATTATCCTACCTAAAACATTTTTCTGGCCTTTAAATCTGCAAATCTTTTTATGTCACTTTCTACACCCATCTTCTTTACAAGATCATTTTCTAGTGACAAAATAGCCAAAGAATTTAATCTATCTTGAGTCATGAACGACCGCAAGTATGTTTTTATAAGCTTCAGTTTTGGAAGATCTCAAGCACTTGATATGGTGGCGCCCTTTATCATTAATGGCGACCCAAACGACTGCTCGAGTCGCCAGAACTTTGAGCCGGCCCTGCTGCTGATTTTATGTTCCAAAGGAAGGAAGGAAAAAAAAAAAAAAAAAACAAAAAAAAAACAAAACAAAAAAAAAACAAAAAAAAAACAAAACAAAAAAAAAACAAAACAAAAAAAAAAAAAAAAAAAAAAAAAAAAAAACAAAAAAAAAAAAAAAAACAAAAAAAAAAAAAAAAAAAAACAAAAAAAAAAAACAAAAAAAAAAAAAACAAAAAAAAAAAAAACAAAAAAAACAAAACAAAAAAAACAAAACAAAAAAAAAAACAAAACAAAAAAAAAAAAAAAACAAAACAAAAAAAAAAAAAAAAAAAAAAAAAAAAAAACAAAAAAAAAACACAAAAAACGAGAAACTACTTACCGAAAGAGCGATTTCAACAGCTGCGTCATTTCCGACCGCGTCTCATGCCACATTGTAGCGCATGCGTAAATCATCGGGACTGTGTTGTCTGCCTTGAGATAAACGTCGTCACTCTCTTCATCATCAAACTGAATGGGGGTGCATCTGTCGTTCCTTCGCCGTAAAAGAAGGTTTTCTTCGGTCAGGATTCCACATCGCATTGGTAATACAAAAAGTCTGTTAAATAAATGTTAAATTTAACATTTCAATGAAATATACTCAGAAGTGTATTGAATTATACACGTAGATGCCTGAATAAGTCTGTAGCCTAATGTGTAAACAAAATTATTTTAGAAATATTTTTCAATATATTCTTGTCGATGAACTTAGTTCAGCAATGGATATTAATTACATAGATTAAAAAATTATAGTGAAAGTTTCAGACTTCAATTAATAATTATGTGGAAGGATACGAACTTATTGATCTCCTCTTGGAGATATGGCCGTATAATTTCACAAATATATATTTAATATCTTCCAAGTGAAGGCGTGTTTAACAGATTATATCTCACCTTTCAATCCTTGCTAATCTACCAGACTTTGAAAACCAAACGTGGGAGCAAATCACAATTTTTGACAACCAGAGAAGGACAAGCCATGTAATTGTCCACCCGTTGAGGACCTCTCTTCCAGGGCACACCCACACGAACGAGTCAGCCGTAGCCGGCAAAAAAGAAAAATGACACTGTAAAACGACCAAGAGTACACATGTCGGCATGCTCAAAATGAGGGGAAGAGAAAACCCTATATTTTGCATGCAAAGTTTACAAGCAAGCCCTCCAAAGTATGAACAAGCCAGGGAGGAAAAGAATTGGACATACAGCAAACCGTAATGTTTTAGATTATCGGCGATTTCGGCTGGAATTATGACCCCGGCAAGATTGGCAGAATTCGAAAGTGCTGTAACATTGTCCTCGATGTCAAATTCGGGTAGATTAGCATCGTTATCGCCGCTCTCCTGTGATAACGTCGGCCATTTCATTTGCAGTGTGAGGTTTCCCATAAAAAAAAGTGCGCACACTATTGTCCACGTGATTTTCCATACGCTAACAAAGATATACAACTTCTCCCGAACTAAATGCAGAGACTTCTTCCATTTTGAAAACTTTATCTCCATTCCAAATATACTGACATCGCCTTCGATGAAATTCTCCCAATGAACCAACGAAACAAGGACCATGGCTACTGGCAATTGCCAGTTAAACTGGCCATCATTTTCCCCCGCGAAGGAGCCCGATAATTTTTCAACGACATTGAATTTTTTCTGCTGGGCTGTGAGAACAACTTTGGCCATCATTTCTTTTTGGTGGTCCCGGATAATGACATCGGTTGAAAGGCAAAGTGGCAAACCAATCAATTGGATGATTAAGGCGACGCCGTTAAAAAGCAACATGGCAGTTCTCTTTTTGGTCGTGTAGGACGGGTCTCTGATGGCGGCGAGCGTCTTGAGAAAAGCAGGGACGCTATAGAGTCCCGAAGTAAGAATTAAAGCACAAAGAATATCCAGTTTGGTCAACAATCGTAAAACAAGGAGACACAAGCCGAGCGTGTGTAGCAGTTCTATAGTCAGGACCTGTGAAAGTAATGAGAGAAAATAAAGTAACTGAATCAAAATGAGGTATGATTTTAATTACTATTAACGTTAAGACTGTTTGCCGTCTTCCCTCATATAATTTACATTTAATATTACAGTATTATGGAGTTACTTATACTGCTGACAATCTACGGCGTCTCGTCAGACACTAGCCAACCAGATGCCTCAACTTCGTAAGTAAAACACAAAAGATATTTTTTTAGTCATTTATTTTATTTTTTTTTTGCTCTCGGAGGTTGGGAGTGTTTTATATGCTATCAAATACGGCAGTTATTTTCCGGTGATTCCAGAGGTCGGTGTTCGAACCCTAGCAAAAAAAAAAAAAAAAAAAAATTGAATCCTGTTTTTTTTTGTCTTTTTTATTATTATTATTTAGATAAAATGTAATCTTTATTCACTTAAACCGTTGTCAGTCTCCACTTTTTCGTTTTCTATTTAGATTCCAGACCACGGAAAATTGACAAACTTCTATTGATAAACAACATTAACCCTGGCGAAATGGACTGAAGAGACCTAGCTGCCTAGAGCCGTGATTCTGTTAACAAACGAATCTAAAAACTCCAATTGAACGTAGAGGAGTATACGCTATTGAATCAATCCGAACAGGATAGCTTCATAGTGACGCTATGCATCGAAATTTATATATATCTTTATTAGATATCAATTTATTTAATATTGGTCATGAGTCTGAATTTCTACTATGGTTATTTTTATTCTTTTTTAAATATTAATTTTATTATCATGTTAAAATTAATATATAAAATACTAGAGTTATTGTTAAGGTATTCATTCTTTAATGATTCTAATGATTACGTAAATAATCATTCAACTTTAGTATTAATATAAACTCTAATATTAGACTTATATTGATATATTAATACTAGAATTTAAATTAGTGACAGTTGATTTTACTCGGTAGTCGCCAATTTATTAGTTATATGTCGCATCCAATGATCTTTAGGGAAATTTCGACCTTGATTTTACTTTATCAGGGAGATATTATCTAAAGCTTTGCTTATTTTGATAAAATATCACATTAGATGGAAACTCATTTAAAAACGAGAGTCATTATCAAACTTATTAGGTAACATGTCGCCAGACGAACAACCGCGGCTATATCGATGCGGCTACAAACCTAGAACATTTGACTCTGCAAACTTGGCTGTGTGATCTGTATTAAGCATTAAGTGTTTCATGCTGAGTGTGTAAGAAAAAAAACAAACATTTAAACTAACTTTCTAACCAATGACCTGTGACAATGTCACCTTCGACGATAGAATTTTTAATTTCATACGGAATTGAAAAAAATAAAAAGAAAAAAAGAAAAAGAAAAAAAAAAGAAAAAAAAAAAAAAAAAAAGAAAAGAAAAAGAAAAAAAAAAAAAAAAAAAGAAAAAGAAAAAAGAAAAAAAAAAAGAAAAAAAAAAAAAGAAAAAAAAAAAAAAAAGAAAAAAAAAGGAAAAAAAGGAAAAAAGGAAAGGAAAAGAAAAAAAAAAAAAAAAAGAAAAAAAAGGAAAAAGAAAAAAAAAAGAAAAAAAAAAAAAAAAAAAAGAAAAAAAAAAAAAAAAAAAAGGAAAGAAAGAAAGGAAAAAAAAGAAAAAAAGGAAAGAAAAAAAGAAAAGAAAGAAAAAAAGAAAGAAAAAAAAGAAAGAAAAAAAAGAAAGAAAAAAAGAAAGAAAAAAAAGAAAGAAAAAAAGAAAAGAAGGTATATCAGACTACTCGCCTGATGCCACGAGAATAGATTAAATAAAGGGTACACTTCAGAATTCTCTGTAATTTAACCAAATCGATATACACCTGAGGAAGGCCGGAGAACACAACCGTCGAAACGTTGTGATAACAACAACAAAGATGATGACAATAGTCCGAGTATAAATAGTATAATTAATAACTTTTATATTTCTTTGTTTCTCTAATTTATGTCACGCTTAAGCAAACATATTTAATAATTGAAAGCGGTGAATCTAGCCTTTATTTGAACGTACAATCTGGTCCATTGTCCTGCTACTTGTCAAATTAACTTGAAAGTACGAACTTAAGCAAAGTGCGCATGTACTATAGTACACTGATTGAGGCAGAGGGTCGAGAAGTGACACTTCGATTCTCGGCAGAACGCACAGGTACTATACTGATAATTGGTAGAACGCACAGGTACGTATGCAAATAATCCGTCATTTTGTTTTTTTTTTACAAATACTAGGCGAGTTAAGCTAATAAACCAATAAAAGGAGACTTACCGAAGCTAAGATCTTCCATGAAGGCATAGGGTTTCCGCCAAAAATGGATTTAGCGGTGTTGAAAAAAACCAACTGACGTATGGAAAAATCATTGCAAGCACAAGCATGGTTTTCAGAGCCTCTCCGTTGTCGATTTCTGTCGTCTTGGAAATAAAATTATATATATATATATATATATATATATATATATATATATATATATATATATTAGAGAGAAATTTTTTTTTTAAATGTTAATACAAGGACAAACAGAATATAATAGACATTAGTCTATATACGAGGGGTGTTGCAAAAAAATTATGGATCAAATTTTCTCAAAAATCTGCCCAAATATCAAAATTAATTACTATTTAGTCTGACCGAAATCTTTTCAGCACCCCTTCGACTATAAGACAGTATCCGAGGTTTTTTAATGTACAAAACAAGTCATGCTGCTTTTACTATTCCTTACACACACACACACACATTATGAAAACCTGCTCAAATTTAAGAGCGTCTCATGAGACAACTGAAGTATGGATGTCTAAAATTGACCTCTGAAAAGTATATTCCCAACATGAAAATATTCTGGTCTGGTTCATATATATAGGGTGCTCCTACCTAAAATATACTCACTCTTTAAATGAAAATAAATGCTTATTGGATTGCAAACAAGATTAAATAGTTCAAATTAAGAAATATTAATGTTTGAAGACTAAAGGTTTAAATTAAATATAAAAGGAAATTAAATGCATGTTTATAAATATTCAAACTGATGAGAAAGTCAAAAAGTGAAGACATTTTGTGACAAAGGTGGGAAGCAAAACTGATGAAAACTTAAAAAAAAAATACTTCTGTATAAATAAGACTCGTAATACATAAGGTATTAATAAAATATAATAATATCAAGCGAAATAAGTCAATTTATTTATTTTTTGATAAATTGTGTGTAAATCGATACAAAGTGCAAAATTGATCTTTAACAGAAGTACCGGAGAACGACACTGAAGACTGGAGTGCTCGATAAATAATCTTATCTTTTTTTACGGGTAATAATAATAAAAAAGGAAGAAAAAAAAAAAAGAAGGGAGAAAGGAAGAAAAATAAAGGGACAAAGGAAGGGAGGAAAAATGAAGGAAAAGGGGAGGAAAAAAGGGAGGAGAAAAGAGGAAGGGAGGAAAAAAGGGTGGAGAAAGGGGAAGGAAAAGGGGTGGAGAAAGGGGAAGGAAAAGGGGTGGAGAAAGGGAGGGAGAAAGGAAGGAAAAAAGGAAGGAGAAGGGAGGGAGGGAGAAAAATGATTATTCCAATAATGGGACTTAAGTTTCACTCTGGTACCTTCTTCCCAAGAATTGCTGCTTTGTGGAACAAATTCCCGGTTGGATGTTTTCTCATTCATTACAATCTTGGCCTTTTCAAGTGTTAGGGTGAATCATTATATTTCCTGTATAACAACGCCATGAATTTAACTTCCTGCCTTTTCTTATGATTATACAACACCACACAACCGACAATTGCTTTTTGTAGTTATGTTCACTTCGAACATTTCGTACAAAAAACGTACAAAATAGAATTAACGCAATAAAACCACATAATTAAAAAAGTACATGAAAAAATATTAGTGTCATTTGCCGATAGATATACAAGTTTCATTATTGATACATGGGTATTTCCTTTTTTTTTTTTTTTTTTTTTTTTACTCTGCGTGCACAATACTTCCTCGATCGAGTTCCGACAAGTGAGGGGTGATAACCGGTTAGCTCATTCTATAGGATTTGTTTTTCTTTTTTTCGGTCGAGAAAATGCTTCCGATCCCGCTGGTCAGCTCGAAGAAAAAAAAAGCAATATCATTTAATATTATTTACTACAGTTGCGAAATATATTGCACTTCTTCCGCGGCGTATAACAGTCTGATAACATGGAAGGTAATTTTAATAATAATGAGAAAGAGAGAGAGAGAGGGAGATTTCCTCTCCTTTTATGCAACTTCAGGGATCACAGGTAACCCTGTCACGTGACCGCTGTAACTATAAAACGTTAGTAAAGTTAATAAGCTTTTTGTCTAGTAAACATTTCAACAACACAAGGTAAAGTACACTACTCCTTTCCTGCCTGACCAACAGTCTGCACACATTCCCGAGAAACTGAAGAAAAAAAAAATGAATATATATATATATATATATATATATATATATATATATATATATATATATGGATCTACAGTACCTTACCGAGGACAATTAATATTAGTAAGAATTTTATATTTTGTTATATTGGGGCATCCTAACTTATTCAGGGAGGTGACTAGGCCTTCAGAGAAGCACAATCCGGGCAGCGCCATTTTTATCTTGATGGAGGGGGAAATTCGATCACTACACGCACGCAGTGACACCAGTCATCACACCTGTCACAGCAAATTATTGCTCGATCACCTTGCGGGGCATTGCAGACCCGAGAGAGCCAAACAACATCCCCTTCCTCGGAAGGTGAAGTTTGTGGAAAGATAGGGGTATGATCTGCTGCAGGTAAACTCGTAGGCAATGGTACAGCTCCAACTTGATCTTCCCTGGCAGATGACAGGGTCAGCCCAAGAGGAAATGGGTGTTTTAAGGAGTGGATTTGCACTGCACCACCTCCCTGTTTGACTTGACAACACTATCCTCTCCACTAATCACCTCCGTGACAACTCCAAGAACTCAAAAGGGTCTGGGCTTAACAGGGCTCTTCACAAGGACTACGTCACTAACCCTCAGTTTTCTATTCTAAAATGGCACCCGAGAACGACCCTGAGTGCCTTTCTTCGAGGCTTAACAGGTATTCATTATACAATATGGCCTTAAATTTCTCCAGGCATTGATTCCGCACCGGCATCGTTCTGAGGTGTCTCTCCTGGTTGGGTGTCATGGGGGAAGCAAAATCTCTATTATTAAGGTTCAACAGCAGCTCAGGATTCTCATTAAGCCTCAAAAATATGTTAGGTGTTACCGCCTCCAGCTCTCTCTCTCTCCGCAGATTCCCGATAAGTGAGGTGGTGGTTCTTGAGAGCCCTTTGAATATCGTATATAATGGTTAATAAGGTGAAATAATCTACCTCACCCCGGCCAACGCCCTTGTGGGGGCAGGTTTTGATAGTTTGAATACTTCTTTGCTAGACACCTCCAACCCAGAGAGAGAAAAGCGGAATAAGGCAGAACTTCTACTGAAAATCGTGACACAACACTAACCTCTTAAAGAGCCGGCCACCTCACATAAAGGTCTATGCATTGTCACTGTAGATAGCAGCCGGAATGCCATACAAGTTGGTGAAACGTACCAAGTCTTGAAGAAAGGACAGCAAACCCAGATCCGGCCCCACCTGAATATGTACTGCTCTGAAACAAGTTTGGTTTGGTTTAGGGCATATCAACCTCAATGGGTTATTTAATTCCGAAAAGATGTTTATTCCTGGTAATGTATTTTTTTTTCAAAAAATTATTGCTGGTAATGTTTTTTCCAAAAATGTATTGTTGGTATTAAAATATATTTTTTACACTTTCATAGTGTTTTGACTCCTAACAAATGTTACCAACCCTGGGTCAGGGTGGACCTGGGAACACCAGCGGGGATCACAAGAGGTGATTCCACGCTCCTCAAAACCTCCTGATCAGAGGCCTTGCTGCCGGATGTCATACCCAGGACGCAATGAACAGTTTTGCTGCCGGTCAGCACAGATATATTACAAGCTAGCACCAGAAAAACCATTTACCCTTGAATTGGGTAAAATATCTCAACTCTGAGAGTATTCTACTGTTATCCAAGAAATGTTTATATCCTTAGAAAAGTATGCATGTAAGAAAATGAAAAAATGATTTCCAGAGCGATATATTATAAATTAGAATAAGACTAGAATCATGTAGGATAAGACTAGAATCATGTAGGATAAGACTAGAATCATGTAGAATAAAAATGTCTTAATGTGAACTGACGCTCAAAGTGACGAACTTATGAGTTAGAACTGAACAACGGATTTTCTAATTGGGATTGGGAAAAATCAAACCGGTATTAAAAAAAAAAAAAAAAAAAAACATGAACACACACACAATTCCCCAAAAAATCCCTGAAAATTCGGAAGTTTTGGAATATCTCGGACATTTCTAATAAATAAATATATAAATAATGGGTTGAAAAATGACCAGCAAAAAAGTAGTGTATCAAAATACGGGGACTAATTAAACAGTTGATCCTGCTCGTTAGGCAATCAGTTCATACCTTAGGGATAGACGTAGCCAGTAACAAAACGCACATCTTACTGGTGACAGCAGAACACAACACGATGAAAAAGAGGAAAACGTAGCAGAGGTACTTGAATAATTTTAGGACAGGTTTGAATTTGTCTCCGGCGCTGATTGTCTCATGGGGAATTACCAAAAATCTATCCCACGAAGATCTGCAAGAAGAAAAATAAATACTTTCAATTCAGAAAAGAACTTTAGAAGCCGCGAAGAGACGAGAGAGTGAGAGAGACGAGAGAGACAGAGAGAGAGAGAGAGAGTGAGGAATCCTTTTCAATTTCTACATTATTTTAGGATAATTTGATAGTCGTCAACTAAAAAGACGAACTTAACTTTCTTCACTCCTAATGCCTTTCCCAATTGTTCATGGTTTAAATTGAAGAATCCCAGACTTATCCCTTAAAAAAGTTATATATCGCATTTCTCTATTTCTATCACTAGAATAGTTGTTAAAATCCACATTCCAGATTGTCAATGAATCCTTCTAAAATCCATTAACATCTTCAGACATTCTTCATGAAACTTTAGCGATAACGTCGTGTCTTCATCTAATTATTCGCATTTAATATCGACGAGTAAGAAAGCAAAATAATGCAACCAGTTCATTAAGACTGACCTTTTTTTTTGTTACACGAATAATTTGTATGTAATTAACTGAAACCTGCTTCATAGCCGAGATTGTTATGTACTTCACAAAGCTGTCGGCGGTGTATTCGAACAGAGGTAAAACACAAGATTCATATACAGATTTTCAAGAGAAATATATGGTCGCCGGTTGGAAGATTTTTCTTGCACCAATATCCTTATTTTTCTACCAATTTGGAAGAGATTTATTATAATTACGATATTTCTAAAATTATAGCAAAATTTTCAGATCATAGAATTTAAGTACAAAATTCGTATAGGTGATAAAATTGCTTTGAGGGAATGATCGGCAAAGTTTTAATATTTAAATAGGTGAGACCTAAAATGACAAAAAAACAAAAGCACAAACTTAAAAAGAAAAAATATTTGAAACTAATATAGGAAATAAACCCTATTTCCAACACAATTACATACATATACACCATATTAAAACACAGGCAAACTACATTTTCTACTCAATAACAGAGAATATTTACAAACATACTCAAAAGATTCCACAATACAACACACCGTTAAAATCAATGTGCTTATTGGTTAGAAATTAGCATCACCATGTGAAATATTTGACCAATCAGAGAAAACTAAAAACCTATTTTTCTCAAGCCATCTCTTCGAGAAAAATTTATTGTAAAAAACCCACAGATTTTGAATTTCAAGAAGCAGAAATGTGATTGTCTCCAAGCTGAAGAGAAGACGTGCTTTTTCCTTAAGCAAGTGCTGAAAAGAAGCATAAGTCGGCGACTTCAAATGAACCATTTCCACTCCATCAACAACAAAGGCGGTCAGCGAATCTTCGCTAACGATAAGTCTTTTCTCAACCATTGCTTTTTAAGACGATCAAGAGAATTGTGATAATAATGAAAAAGCGAATACGGGTCTTACGGTTGGAGATCATCGTTTTCGTTGACAGGAAGGTTTAGCTTTATATGTTCTTTCTGGAATTATATGGAAAGAAGACAAAAAAAAAAAAGAAGATTAATAATGTCAAGGACTTAATCTGAACGAGGGTGGATCAATAAATCCGTAGCAAGACACGGAATGATGTTGGATTTTGATCAAGGTGATTAACATTCACCCTTGATCCCATGCACTAATATGGAAGGGGGATCATATTGAAAAGAAATATTTATAGCGTATAATAAGCGTTCTATTCTCCCTCGTTAGGCTACGGACTTACTGATTTACCTACATAATTACTCTTTAACTATATCTGTATGTGCAAGCCGGGATATGTTTAATTCTTAAAAAACAAAAAAATAGAACATTTCTAGACGATAAACTAGAATTGTAGATTTGATTTGGTTTGGTTTTTGTTTAGGAATAAACTCCAGGAGGATAACTGCAAACATTTTGAACGAAGCTAAATTATTTGGTGGGAAGGAAATTTTGTCGCGGTTTGTAGAATATTAAATTTATTTTAGAAACTGCAAGAACTTGCATTCCAATTGGACATATTCCGAGAGAACTTTACTCGGTCCTGCTACACGGGAAAAATATTTTATTTACATAATAAACCAAACGAAATTTGTCGGTTACAGATGCATATTAGGAATGGATTGATTTTATTCTTAAGCCGACATTATTTCGTATTAATCTGGAGGCCATTTTATGCTGATAGACGTGTTTGAGTAGACACCCTGTTTTTATTTTAAACAGGACTGCGAGACTAAATAAAGAAAAATGTGCTCTCCGGTCGGGTCGATCTAACGCACGCCATATCAGACGATAGTCCCCCCTATGATGGGAGATGCACATTCGAAGCCCCACCCCCCACCGGAGAACGTATTTTTTTCCTCTTAAGTCTCTCGAATGCGCAGGCCAGTAGACGTAATTCACAATGTGTTTTTAAAAAAAATAGATGGTGCCAGGTGTCAGCGATAAGACAATCCGAAACTTTGCCTTAAACCGGCTTTACATTAGTTTTATTATTACTACTACTATTATTATTACTACTATTATTATTATTACTACTATTATTATTACTACTACTACTATTATTATTACTATTATTACTACTACTACTATTATTATTACTACTACTATTATTATTACTATTATTATTACTACTACTATTATTACTACTACTATATTATTATTACTATTACTACTACTACTACTATTATTACTACTACTACTATTATTATTACTATTATTACTACTACTATTATTATTATTATTACTACTACTACTACTATTATTATTACTATTATTACTACTACTACTACTATTATTATTACTATTATTACTACTACTACTACTATTATTATTACTATTATTACTACTACTACTACTACTATTATTATTATTATTACTACTATTATTTATTAGTACTACTACTACTATTATTATTATTTATTATTACTACTATTATTTATTAGTACTACTACTATTATTATAGGTGTGATAATTTCAATAAATTAAGATTTTGTTTGATATCTTTATTTAAAGAGACCTATCTGTGATATGGTTTTAAATCAGTGATTTTCAAAAAGGAAGTCACTGTCTCTCAGAGAAAGAATTATATATGAGGTTGAGAGAAATTTACTTCAGACACAAATCAAAATCAAATTTTGGTCACCTGCATAAGCATAAAAAAAAAAAGGTGAAAATTTGGAAAATAATTCAAAATGAAGTGGGGATATCTAAAAAAAAAAAAAAAAAAAAAAAAAAATGGGGGGGATGTCATCCGAGACGCTGCTACAGGGTGTTCCAAAAGTCACGCGACATTGGCAGAAAGTGTACACTTGTGAAATAGCAACCAGGGAAAATTTGCATGACATCGTCTATAATTCGACCAATTTCTTCAGAATATATTGTCGCATACAGAAACATGATTCAATTTGGTAAATATAAATTTTACAATGTTATCAATGGTAATGCGATTTGTGGAACACCCTGTAATTTAGATAAACAACTCAAATTACATAAAAATAAAATTTAATTTCTTCTTACTGA